TTGCTGGCAGTCTACGTACCATCCTGTATTTCCTGAAATGAATCTTCAACTGTTAAACACTATCTCAATTCACTGTGGTTAAATAAAAGTTTCTAAGTGTTTTCTTTTTCTTTTTTATATATCCCCTGTTTTATGAATAAATAAATGTTACAGACATCTTTAGCCCTGATTCAATACTTAAGTGTGCTTCCAACAGTTTCTACAGAGCAGTAGCTCTGGTCATAGGACTTGTATAGTTTGTGCAAATGCTTGTATAAAGAAAATTACATCTTAATAACTATTTTTCACATAATGCAATTTCCTTAATACAAACAATTTTATCTGGTATGCTTTTGCTGAGCATGATGCCACCACTCCTGGCAGCAGAACCAGGATAATTCACACAGGTCTGACAGGATCAGGACTTGGAAATGAAAGTCAGCTGTAGGAGGCAGGATGCAGAGCTGGTGATGAAGTAGTGACACGAGTATCCTTCTTAGCTGCTTTATTGCAGCTTGTCAGCAAATGACAGGAGGATGTCATTCTTTGTCTCTTGCATTTATAATCTCAAAACTAAATCCTCAGATCTTAAATAGATTTATATCTTCTGGTGGCTGTTCTGCCAATTAGCATGGTGTCACTTCCATTTCAAGAACCTCTGCCCACTAGTATCCTAAAGTCTGGCCCATTATTTTGAGCACACTTTAATCAGATTTGCTTTTAAAAAAAAAAAAAAAATCCTTGTGCATTTAGAGTTTAGCAATTTGATTTAGATAATAAGATCTTGTCCATATATCCAAATAATTCAGGAGAGTTTCTCCTGGTTAGCTATGACAATATAGGATAATGCATTTGCACGATTTTTTTAACCAAATCTGAAAACATTTGAATGTCATGAGTCAGAAAGAGCTTTGACCTGAAATTTAATTAAGGGGTGGAAAATAGGAAGAGTGGGAGGATGCAGGAGAGAATTAAACAAAAAAGAAAATCCCTCGTCATTTGAAATTTCGCTCCTGTTAAATGGTCTGAAAAGCTTCTGTCATAGAATAGTTGGGCCTTATAAATGAGGTAAATTTGAAAATTGGGAAGAGTGAAAAATGAAAACTTAGTAATGTTGTTTATTTTTTTAATAAAAAAGATGCAGGGAAGAGTAAAAGGCAAGCTGAAATCGAAGCACATTTGTTGCCATCCATGTCCTAATGAATAGCATTAGGAAACCATATGTAAGTATTTAGTCTTGACTGTAGCAGATTGAATACATTTGGTCTTGTCTGGATGAAGCAAGCCTAAATCTATCAAGTATTTGTGTGAAAAAACAGTTGGAAATTCTGGTTACTACAAATGGAAACCAAAGAGCCATGCCCAATTGCTTTGTGGAATAGCATTAAGGAATTTAAACTCATCTGCTTCCAGATGAGGTGAAAGTTTCAGTTCCATTATCAGTGCCAATCAGACAGGTGAAAGTGGAGAAATAAATTTACAAACAATATCAGATTTCCTAAAAAAATTCTTTGTTGAATCTATAGCAGTTCACAATTACTATAGTGCTGCAAATCAGCTTCCATTAAAAAAAGATTCAAAAAAAATATTTGCATTCTTGTACTACAGAATATTGAACTGAGGTTGTATTGGTACACCTTAAATATTTGTAAGGCTTTTACTTGACTGCTCTAAGAAGGGGCTTTAGACACGATAGATATGCCAAATTAAAATCCACATGGCCGTAAGTTTTATGTAGTTTATAAAAATAATGTGCTCACCTGAGTTAGTCAAGAGCTTTTAGCAGAGACCAGACCATAGACCCAAATGATCTGTGTCCAAGTAATAGCTCAGAATGAAATACAGCCCTCTTCAGTAGTGGAGGCAGTCCAGCATGTGCATGTCTTCAGCATGCATAGGAGATAGGCAAGTACTTCCCAGGACAGACAAGCTCCCAGCCAGAGCAAAAGGTGATGCTTGATTAAGTGTAATTATGTGTTTAATCCCTGGATCTCCCATCGATGGAGACAATGTGGTACAATCCAGCATTGGGCTCAGGCAGATGGAAGGACCTGATGAGGTGCATGTACTGATGCCATGCAGTGCTGCAACAAAACTGTCACTGGAAGTAACGCTCTTAGAAAGTTAATGCAGGAAGGAATAGCAGTGACAAGTTTGACTGGAAAAACTGCAATTAAGGGAAGTCTAGAATGAGGAGTGTTACGAAATTGGTTGTCATCAACAGCTAATCCAAATTTAACTAAGATCTCTAGGGTTAAGGCTTCATTATCACCTGATTCAGGCTAAACACATCTATCTTTGACTAGTGGAAGATTTGATGTAACACCTATTTAGAGAAGTAATTTACAAGTGTAAATCTTATCTGTATGGACAGAGATGTTCATAATTTACTTAAAGATGTTTGCTTTATATTTGTAAAGATTGAATTTGATATCAGGGTATTAGAGTAGCAGTGACTAAGTTTTGGCATACTTCATTGGAGAAAGAAACTCTTGGTCTCGTGTTTTCTGAAAACTGAACATTGTAGATGTAAAGTGGGAGTGTGAATGTGTGTGTGTTGCAGGTCTGTGACCAAAACAGATTTTTTCAGATTAGCAACATACTAAGAAATCTAATAATCTTTCTGCAACTCCAGAGACACATACTGCACCTTACTGTCCCTGCCAGAGTGCACACTGTGCTTTTTTCCTCTTGGATCTTCTCTGAAACTCATTCTGTAGTTCCTTAATTCATCCCTCCACTGAATGACAAAACTCTTTTGCCACCTAAACTGCCCTGAGCAGTATCTTTGTAGGTTTATATTCTTTGAGAGCTAAGGATATGTGAGAGCTGAGGTGAGGGACATCTCAGAAGATACTGGAAGTTAATGGAATTACTGTGGGGATACGTCAGTGTATCGTCAGTGTACACAGGCAGGCTGTAGCACCCTCCTCTGCTCCAGACCCAAGGTTTCCAAGAGAAGTAACCATCATTAATGTTCTTGACTACCTCCAAGCCAAGTATACTATGTATTAGACATTTTACATTAGGCAGCCTATTGATGCTATGTTGCAGTTCACAAAAGTTGCACAGTAAAGGAGGAAAGTGGTACGAGAAGAGTAATGATGAGGACCACTGATTCATATGGACTAGAAACTTAGGAGAAACAGAAAAGGGAGGAGGAATAAAGATGGCCTGTAGGACATTGCTCTTGATTATACTTGACCTGTTTTAGTTGAAGTAATTCTGCTTGCCTCTATCAACAAGCATTTCCTAATGTATTTTACCACTACATGTTGCAACCTTTACTAGTTATTGAATAGGGGGGTGTAGTGTGTAGGCTGACCTCCATGCAGTTCTCATTTGGGGCATCCTTGCCTCAGCACTTTGTTTTAAATGATAGAAGTATACGGATTTTTTGAGATTACTTGTGTAATTCTGCAGAGCTCATGTTTGAGATCCATCAGCTGTGATACTGACTCTGGATGCTACTCTGAAATATGTTTCAGATGTTTATGATGTTCTGTCAAAGAAGATCTGATTATTTTTTTTTTTATTGCCATAGAGCCATGGGACTCTGCTGATATAAAGCAATCCTGTTCCTGCTTAGGTCCATTTGGCAAGATGCTTAAGACAAATAACTTGATCTTATTAATAGATAAAAGGAAAAAGTTTCCTTAAGAGCTCTTATTGTAGAATAAAACTAGAAGAGGTGGTTGCTTATTTGCAGCTCTTTTCTCAGCTTAATTTTGAGTACAAGATTCAGAGTCTTACTGGGCTGTTACTATCCACTGGCACTGTTGCTTAGTTCTCCTGAAAATGATGTTGGAGTTTGGCCTCAGTGAGATTCTTTGAAACAATGTATTTTCAAACAATGTTTATAAATTCCCTTTAGAAATCTCTTATTTTTCTGTCTCATGTTACGAACTCATATGCGTTAATTTGGTAGTGGCATATCTGTAATTGTTCTTTATTCAAGATAACCCTTGCCAGTTCCCCAAAAATTTAACAGCAAAAATGAGTCCCGAGAGCTGGGGCACCAGTGATGGCTGCATGGCCACCTGACCTGGTCGGAACTCCTAAAGGGGTGAGATCGGGTTGCTGGGAACTTGCCAGCAAGTCACCAATTATTACTAATTGCATGGGAAATTACTGTAATGTTGCGATGGCTCATCAGGGACGTGGAATGATTTCATAGCTGTGCTGCACCCTAGGGATGCGTGTCCCTTGGTGCTTGCTTCTAGAAGACAACACATTGTTGCTCACTGCTCTGTTCAGTTGCAGCATTTTAAGATCTGAACTATAATTAATGTGGAGGAATGTGAAACAACTACCATCTATCGTGGAGCCTGACTTGGGAATATTTGAGTTAAAGTGTAAAATTCCAATTAGTTTCAGCAGGGATCATCACCAACTCCTCTGGAGACGGGCCACATTACTTCTCATTTTCTGTTAGAAAAGAAAACAAACCTAGTTACGTGAAATTTGTGCAACGTGCACACGATAGTCCTTTCAAAACAAGAAAAATACAGGCATCTGATTTTCAAAAGGGCTTTCTGCTTTTCCTCTCTGATTTCCAAGGGAAGTTTTGCAGAAGACTTGGATTTAAGATGCTGCTGTGTTCCCCTCTTCCTACTGACAGCTGTAAACATCTGCTGAGGATGTCATTCATTGTCTCGTCCTACAGTCACTTGTTAAGATCATGAAGCATCATGCGTCCTTGAAAATTAAGCTGGTAATGCCATGGGTTGGGAGTGAGCAGCCAGTGTGTCAGAGGCTCTCCGGAGTGCGAGAGCAGCCGCGGCATCCGTGCCCTGTCCCGTGGATAACGCCACAGCGGGGAGGGGAGCTTTCCTAGCCAGTTTGGGAGGGCAGGCGGTGGCAGGTCCCCACCTGTGTCAGGCACGCTGCTGTGTCATCACGCTGCGATTTCGGCTCTCCGTCCTGCTCTCGAAAAGGCAGACAAGGCTTCAAGTCATAAATTGCATTTCGCGTAACTCCTCCCCTATTTCGGTTGCTTGCTCACGCAGCCACCCACGGATCCGAAACAAAAATGTGCGAAGCGAGGCAGGGAGCACTCTCACCAGTGCAGATTTCATCTCCCCTCTAGGCGCTGGGGTGCCCGTCCTGCGCCGACACCGTCTGACTCCTCCAGAACACAACGAGGCTTTGGCTATTCGCAAATACATAAGCATTTTTCTCCCATCCATTCTCATCAGCTTGTACTCCAAGAAGAAGAAGAAGAAAAAAAAAAAAAAAAAAAAGGAAAAAAAAAAAAAAAAAAAAAGGTCCGGGGCTGTACATGAGCGTGTCTTTGTGCCACTGCTCGTTCGGCGGGCTGACAGAGGCGGCATTGTTTGCAGGCTGTGGCCGGCTTGGCAGCCGGAGAAGGTGGGGATCTGCGCCGCGCATACGGAATCGGCAAGTGGCCGAGGACAGGGGTCGAGAAACTCCTAGATCTGCGTTAACAACAAGAGGGAGTTTCAGAGCACTGCTAATAGCTTCTCCTGGTGTCCTCTGCACAATGCAAACAGGGTCCGGGGTGAGGAGTCCTTGTTAATCAAAGGTAATGTTTTTATCTTTGTAGTAGCGCGGTAGTGATTGCTGCTATTTGATTATTAATTAAAATATGGGTAATAATAGAGGGGAAAAGTTGTGAAGTCCACCGTACTCCTTAAGAGAATAAAGCTTCATGGTGGCGTCGTGCTGCAGCTGAGGGTTGTTGGAGTTTGTCTGTTCCCCTTTATGTGGGCTTAGTTCACGTTACCAGTAATGAGAAAATCTGTATGTGTTCCCGTCAGAGGAAGAAAAGACCGTTTAAGTCTCCTTCTCCAGCTTTCTTACTTTTTAAGCCAGAAGCTACTATGTAAATGCAATATTAAATGGATTTTGCTAATAGAAATATATTAACATATAGCCATTAGGCAAGGTAAATACTTCTTCCTATTACCAGAGACAGTTCTTCACCCCTGCAGGTACTCCCTGGGGTAGAAAACATTCTGTACAGTGGTAAAAAATTAACACCTCAGCAGAAAGAAGAATCACTGTTGCATTTATTTTTTTAGCCTTTTTTTATTAAATCAGACTACACAGACTGTACTAAATGGATTTACTGTTGTTATGCAGATATTTCTCGTGTGTTCTTACTACTTCAATTATATTTTTAATAGTTTTTAAATTATTACTTTTCTGGTTTAAAAGATATATTTTTCTGAGCACATCTCCAGGTCTCTCTGCTGTTCCTCTTGCTGTCTGTCCCTTGTAATCATTAACTATATTTTTGAGTTCGTACTGCTATTTGAGGGTGATAACAAACATGCTCTTAAAAGCGCATGCCTTGTAGCTGTGGCTGTTGTTCATTTTGTGTGCCCAGGTTAAGGTGTTTTTGGGGTGAATGGGCTCAGCTGCAGTGGGGACGCCCCGACACAACCCCAGATCTGGAGCTCACATAATGTCACAACTGGAATTTGAAAGAAAAACATTGGGGGATTTTTTTTGTTGATTTCTTCAGGGGTGGAGGGGCAGTAAAAAGAGGAGATTATCAACTGTATGCTGAAGGGGTTTACCCTTTTCTGCCAGTGCAGCACCATTACTTGTGTGTAATTCAGGAGAACGGATCTTGTACCTCCTTGTGCCTCCTGATGGCACGTAGCAGCCCCAGAGGACACACACTGCTTTTGTGCTCCTGTTTGGTTTTAATCTTTAGGGAGCAACTGTTTCAAAGAATAAACACATTGCTTTGTAGCAGAAACTCAGGGAAACATCCTGCTAGTGACAGCGGCAGCCGCTGCCCATCACACTGGACATCCCTCTGCCAAAACCCGTGGGGCTTTGCTAGCCAGCCAGCCAAAGGCTGGGAGCTGCAAGCTGTGTAACCAGGAGAACGGCTGAAGGAAATAACATTTTAAAGTGTTAAATTAAAACTGCAAGGCTGCTACCCGCTCACTCAAAACACGGTATCTGGATTTATTCTGGCCTTTGGCCTGGAGATTTGTGGCATCCCCTTTGTGCAGGAGTGTCCACCCTGCTAATCCATACACAGGCCCCCAAGGCTGCTTGGCAGTGGAGCCATGTCGGGCACTGGGTGGGCAGGTGATGAGCCTGTTCACTCCTTCCACGCAGACTTTCCCCATGCCCCCCTCCTTGCTGAGGGAGAGGGAAACTTCAGGCTCCAGTGCAGGGGAGCCAGGTCCCTGCTTCCCAGCCCCATCGGCCAGGCAGTAGGGCTGGAGTCATCAGCATTTTAACAGTGCCCTTCTCATCAGGGAGATATGTTCCGGACAACACCTGCTACAGTAAAAAAAAAAGAAATTTTAAAGTAATAATAAGCACATTTAGACCCACCCTTTTTTTTTTTTTTTTTTTTTTTTTTTTTTTTTTAAATCTATGAAATGAGAGGTATTCTTGGTCATTACCTCCATGAGAGAAAGGAGACCTTAGATCTTATTCTGTGTCTTTCAATGATTTTCTTGTGGAAATCCCAAATCAGAGCTTGTCTGCACAAGCAAAAAACTGGAACCACAATAATTAAAGGGGTTGCAATTCACAACTGTTTTTCAGTGGATGCTTTACTAAAAAAGACACTCGTATCAGGAAATAAAAATATACGCGGATAAATGTGGGTTTAGGTTAAATCAAAATTGGTCATTTATTGTTGTGAATACACTGCTTGATACTGGTGTAGAGCTTATTACTTTACTTCTACTGCTGTGTTTTAACCAGCAAATACAAAGTTTCTTTTGCTGTTAGTTTAAAAATGTGGAGCAAATACATCTCCCACACATAGAATAATCCTGCTTAAAGTTCATTTGCTAAACACTGTGTGCCTCATTTATACAGTGACTTTTAGAACCCATTTCCTCCAGAGTATATGACACTAAGCAGTCAGGGTCAATTTAAAATAGATAGCTTTTGCTTACCCAGTCAACTTTCATCTATTGTATATGTTTCTGTAAACAAAAAGATGCAGAAGAGTTTGTGATGGACGTAAGCATAGGCAGGGCCTTTGCAGTAACTTTTTAACCATCACTTCATTGTTTTTTCAGCACAGAAGCTTTTGCTTCCTCGCTGGGAGAGCCTATATGAAGACTTGCATGAACAACGTTGTAAGGTAAGGAATACACCCACTGAGAGCTGGGTTTTTTAATTTCTTCCTAATTTTGCATTGCTGTGGAGTTCCCATGTGAGATGTTGCTTTACTCTGATTCTCAGAAGGACTTGCATACGGTGATTGTTTGGTAATAACAAATAAATGAGCAAAATTAACTGTTTAATATGTAGATGATAATATGTCTTAAATGATACTGAATTTCACCATCTTATGAAGTTTTATATGCATACTCTTGCTCTTCTATGAGCCTCAAACAGTTCCTTTGGGGAACTGGCCACACTGTGTGTTCAGTGCACCTCTTGGTGAAGCAGATCCCTGTGCATCATCACTTGTGGTATTTTAGTCAACTTTGAAGTGTTAAATTAAAACAGGAGAGTCCAATGTATTTTCTGATTCCCAGAAATACCATCACTTTGTGGCCTTTCCCTGGCAGATTTAGTGTCACCTTTCCTTCTCAACTTCTCTCTTCTCCTGGAGGGTAGCAGCCCTCCCTTCAGACATGGTGCGCTTGAGGCTCTTATCCACAGGCTGATGATCAACCAACAGCATCATTCTTTCCTCCTCTCCCAGGACCTAAGTCTGTCGTGTTTTACTCTACCTCACTCACTGAGTGAAAAATTAAATGGTCAATAAATGAAGAATCTTTTTGAAATATGATGACTGGAAATTGTGTAGCTCTTCTGATTTGGGGTCCTAACAGACAGGCTTTCATGCAGCACTAGACAGATTACACAGCCTGCATAGATATTACAAAGTCCAGCAGTGTTAGTATAGTATAGCTGTGCTGCTTGTTTCCTTAATCTGCTTGTTTAGAGACACCCAGAATATTCATCTTAATCATCTATTTCCGCTGCATAGTAGGTACAGGAGGAAATACCACAGAGAGCCTTGTCACTGGGAAAACGCATCATTTGAATGTGCAATGTAAATATTTTAACTAACCAAATGTAAACACTGTTTTGTCTGTAGGATGGGAGAAGACTGTCACAGTCAAAAATGAGCTGACATAAGAGTGACCCTGTATAGATGAGATACAAAATTGTGTTCACACATTTTGGTAATCAAAACAGAGCCCTTAATGAATTGCCTAGTGTGAAAGGAATTGCAAACACAAATGTGCCTGACACAAGACAATCGGAAGTTGCTGCTGTATTGACATTAGAAGGACTTTTAGATTCATCTGAGGTCCATGGTAGGGATGATGTGAGATGAGAGAGATGAGATGATAGAGTTGTGAGATGGTGAGAGCTAAAGAGAGGCTGGAGACCCTGGAGGAGAATCTAAACCATAAGTATGCTCTGAATATGCATGCTTATCTGTGCCTCTGGCTATGACTTGTGTTCGCCATGCCAGAACACTTAATTCAGAAGTTTCCAAGGGTTAGAAGGTGGTAGAAGCAACAAGGACACTAGATACAGCAAGAAGTGCCTTATTTCATTCACAGATGTGCTGTGGGTTTTTCAGCTGGTGGATTCAAAGGAAAACAGAGTTCTCAGGCAGCTCAGAGCAGTTGATCATTAGCTCTGCCTACACCGGCTTCATAAGTGCTTGAAGACTTATGGTCAAGTGGTACTTGATAGACACCAGACATGGGGTTTAACTTTGAGTGCTGAACATGTTTGGTCCTGAAAAATAGTGTTATAGTATAGGATACAGAATCCTCCAGATATCACTTGACTTTATTGTGCAGTAGATGCTAAGAAGCAGAGAGACCAGAGTCTTTGGACATTCATCAGATTGCTAAGCAGAAGAAACATCTGGGGATCATTTAATTGGCTATATGTTCTAGTCTGTGGATTGTTAATATCAGAAGAGGAAGAAACGACACAGAGGATTTGACTAGACTAGACTCCTTGGATTGTCGGAAACTGTTTATATTTTATTTCTGTAAGCACAGGTCTATGTAAATGCCTAAGCTAGTAAGCTTTCATTACTGGAGTAGCTGGGGGGGGTGGGTGTTAAAGTTGATTTTTGCTTGTATTACCAACAATGGGTAATATATTAACATCTGCCTCACATTTGCTATTTCTTTGTTCTAACAGCTGGAAATTTACATTTACACATACGCCTCAGAGCTAAAAATGTCATTCTCTAGGTTAAAAACCCATACTGATTTTTGTCGTTCTTGTTAGGAAAGGCGAACTGAAAAACACAGGGAAAATACAAACAGGAAGGGTAGCCCCCAGATGATAAATGCTTTCAGTTCAAACTCAGATTAATCATGTATAGCATAGCCTAAGAGTGTCATTGTCTGCCATTACTACAGCAATTTAGCTGTAGTAGTCAAATGAGCAAATCTATTAAGAGTAAAAATTATTCAAAGAAAGTAGAACCAAATACTTAAGTCATCAGTGAAGAGAAAAATACAGTAGCTTTTTTTTTTTTCAGTGTAGAGGAAATCAAGAGCCTTTTTTTGTGTGGATAAAAAGTGTTTTACATAGATGAGAACAACTTTGACATTATCCTTGACTAAAACTTCTGTTGTTAGAAAATCAATAATTTTATGCAGTAACTTCATGTAACTATTCTCTCAAATATAGTAATCCGAATCTTCTTTACCTCTCAGACAAATGTATCAATTTTCGTGGGAAAGCATGAATAAAATCAAAATTAAGAACTTAATTTTTTCCCTATAAGAGCAGGAAACTCATATACTTTTGCTAAAGTGCTGTACTGTGGGGGTTTTTTTGTTTTTTTAGAAAAAAAGATCTAAAATGGCTTGGTTTAGCACAGGAAAAAAGCTAGGAACAGATTACTTTATGGTGCTGAATTCATAGTATTGTTTTTCTAAAAGAAAATAGCATTATTTGAAGAAGGGGTTTAGATGGCTGAAGAAAGAGGGAATTTAAGAGGAGGGAAGAGAAGTGCAGTTGAAAAATGTTTGGAATGACAGTATAAACTTCAGGGAGGAAGGGAATTAGATAAAAGAATCTGTGAGAGTGGGAATAATGTGAAGGGGAACAGACTGTGCTGGTGCGATCTTTTGGCCTAGGTTTTGAAAAGAATTCAGAATATGATCTGCAGTCTCTGTCTTTGTTTGGGAGGGGGAATGGGAGTTTTTCCATTTACGGTAAAGTGGAGTAATAATGTCATTGCCGCAGCTGTTAAAATATTTTAAAATCTACTTCAAACTGGTTATTTATTGCAGTGTTAAAGTATAGACCATTGTGGTCAGAAGTAAGAGAGAAATTGGAACTGATCCCAAAAAGTGGGGTGAAAGCACAATTTATGTTTCCCTGAAGGGGGTTGGGACCGCTAGTCCAGTCCCGCTCATTCTCAACTCAGTTTGCTGAGAGATTGCTTTTCAGGAAGCCTCTTTAGATACAGCTGTAAGTAAACAAATCTCAAGGTTCAAATCTGCAAGGGGAACATGGAAGCCTCCATCAAAGCCAGGGATAAATAGGATGCATATTTTGAGTCTGAAAGTGCTATCTGAGGGTGGCTTTGCAAAGCACATGAGGGCCATGGTATCCCAAGCATCTCTGGCACACACTTGAGAACTGGCTTGTGTAAGGCAGTGTTTCTGCAGAAGGTGGATAGGCTACACAGGAGCTCCCATGCCTACAGCTGCTTCAGAAGCCACTTTTTCATTGTGGTACAGAGTGATCTTTGTCTGCTTAGTCATTTCTATGCAACACAGTCTTCGAATTCATATCTATATATCACCTATTCCAGATGAACAGCAATAACTTTTAGTGTCAGGTAAGTCCGTCTGTGAGATGAATTTATACTTGCACTGTCATAGACTGTCAGTAGCTTTAGACAATCCGTTATCATCAGACTAACTTGGTTTCTTAGTTCTGCTCTTGTGGCACAGCCAATTCCATTTCAGTGTATGTCAACTAAGGAGGGTATGCTCTAATAATATTTTACATTTACACAGCACCTCTCATCCCAGAGTACTTTATAAATCACGTGTCTTCACCGCTGACCTTTTGCCATCCTTTGAGAGCAGGAGAGCAACCGTTTTACAAAAGCAATACAAACCACAGGAATCTTTTTTTCTATAATACTGGGGGGTACCCATTTATTACAGAATGAATTACATGTTCCCTAAGCTACAGCTTCAGTTTTTAAAGACCTTTATTGAAAAATTCCTCAAGATAAGGTGCATGATCCTACATTTTGTGTTCACCATGAACAAAGAGCTAATCCATCTTTCCAAGACTGGAGCCCTGGAAATATTTCACTCTTGCCTCTAAATGAACATAAAAGTATCACTACCTCTATACGTTGGCTGTCATTTTACCTGTAAATTGTCACCTCTTCCTGCAGAATCTGCCCAAAACTCTATAGTCTGCATTCCTTCTCAGATGCCGAGGATCCTCCTGTCTCAGTGTGAGAGGTACAGCATAATAGATATATCAGAAAACCTGTTTAATTGCTCTTGAGAGATTCAAATTTAACTGATCTGCTGGGGTATGAAGCTGAAGAAATTCAGTGTGGCTATGCATTGGGCCAGTATATGCAGAGGAGAGATGTGCAAGGCCAAAGGAACAAGGAGGAGGAATACGATGGCGATGGATTAATCTTCCTGGCATTCACTGCCCCTTCCTGTAAACATTAAGAAGATGATCTGAAGCCTACTGAGATCAGTCCCCGCAGCACTGGAGCTGTAGGGAATAGCGGTGATTAGTAAGGGAGTGTGCAAGGTCCTTTGTCTGCCAGGGCATCCTTCTTGTGACAGGCAGAGCCTCAGCTTATGTGTAGGACTACCTCAGTGGGGACAGATTCCCTCTGTTTACTTCAGGAAAAAACTCCAGAGGAGCTGCTTTCCTTATTTTAAAAGAAGAAAATAGATATGCAACCTGTTCTAGTACAGTATTTGCCAAACCAGACATTCTGGAGGTTAATTTCGGCCTTATTTAATCTGTTGTTTTAAACAGGATGACAGCAACATTTCTATTTTAGTTGTACAATTCAGCAAATGGATTACAAAACCACAGTTAACTGAAAATGCCATGGATGGTAACTCAGTTAATAGTAGATTAAAAGAATCT